TGCCCAGTCCTGAGGATGCCACAGGACTTGTACAGAACACCAGGCACACTAACTAGCATTCTTAAAAAAGATGGTGTCTGTGTCCTCACAAAATGGATAGGTTGAGACTCCAACCTCTAGTACCTCAGCATGTGATTGTATTTGGAAATCAGGTTCATAAGGAGAGGTTGACTGAGTAAGATGAGGTCATATGTGTGAGTCATAATCCAAACACAGTCAAAGTCCTTATAAAGAGAGTGACTATGACACAGACACGCACATGAGGAAGCCCTCAACAGGGAGGTGACCTCTGTGCCGGATTCCTAAGGACCACTGTAAACCAATGACAATGCATTTCCATAGTATATTTCTGGGAGAAGTAATGGTGTGCCTTTGGGCAAGTGACGGATGAGTGTCTCTGGATGTCAGCTTTTTAAAATGGAGACCTCTGTGAGGACCTGATAAGGCCAGATGTGATAGTGGTAAGGCACAGAGACTAGACTGAGTCAGTGTTAAAGACAGCTCCCCCCCCCCAAAGGCCAGGACAGAGAGTGCTCTGAGAGGATTAGAATAATCTCTAACCTTCTTCCCTCTATAGGAGCAATATTTGTTCACTGTGAAAAATAGAGATCTGAGAAACAAGGCCTAGAGCATTACAACACATGGAAAAATGCACATATGTTATGTGTGTGTGTGCACGAGAGTCAGTATGTGGAACTGGCTTATGTAATAATGGAAGCTAAGACATCCCATGATCTGCTCTCTTTTAACTGAAGAGCTAGGAGAGCCAGGGTGTGTTCAAAGGCCCAAGAATCAACAGCAGTGATGTAGACCCCAGGCCTAGGGCCAAGGAGGTGGACGCCCGCAGCTGGAAGTTAGGAAGCCAAATGGGCAAATTCCTCCTCCCTGCACCCTTCTGCTTTAGTCAGGTCCTCAGGGGATTGACGGCTGCCCATACACAGTGGTGGGAACAGTCTCCAGACAGACTACTGAGCTAAATGCTAATTTTATGTGCAAACACTCCTGTAGACACTATCAGATTAATGTTTAATATGGGAATCCCTTTACACATAAAGTTAGCCATCACAATACATTTTTTGGAAATATGAAAAAGTACAAAAAGAAAGAAAAACCACCATCTTGTAGTAACCACCACTGATAATATTATTTCTGGTATGTTTTTCTGTGTATTTAATGTCTTTATTTTTATGATTTGGGGAATTTGTAAAAAGTAATGGTTTTATTGCAAAAGTTTGAGGTGTTTGCATGGCCGAGAGAAAGAGTGAAAAGCCTCACCCTGTGCCCACCACCCCTCTCCCTACCTTTCTGCATCCTGTTTAAGGATCTTGAGCGCACAGATGGGGACACTCGAGGCTCACACAGCTAAGCCTTCTCTGAATCCCCATGTCAGTCACAGCCACACTCTGGCTATCTACAAGACACGGAGCCAACTCTTCATGTGTTGTCATCCATCCAGGAAAGAAGACAAATAAGAGGTATGAGAGGCCTGGACTTTAGCCAGAGATTTCCACCATCCTTGGTACCTGGACATGGTTTTGGAAAAAGACAATGAGGCCAGGAGAGGCCTGCAGGGGACTCTTTAAGCACTCAGTGCACACCAAGGCTCAAACTTGGATCCTAGGACATTTTAGAGAAGCCAGTATCTCAGAAAAAGTGCAACCTGGGGCCATGTGGGACAGCAATGGACCTCCAAGGCCTAATTCCTTGCTCTATTGGGTTTCACAGTATCATGAAATGCTGGACCAGGAAGCAGCAGCAGGAAGAATCAGTCCCGGGCTCATGGGATGAGAGGCAGGATGTCTTTCTGCGGGACACTGGCTTTGAGGCAGTCACCCCCAGAATTCCCTGTTATAATTCTGAAAAGAAAATCACTATTTATCCTACATATACCCTTGAGCCCACAAAGCCCATATCCATCTTAGAGAAATCACATGGCTGCTAATGCCACCTTCCTTATTCCCTTGCAGGAACTAGCCTCGAGCGATTTAGGTACATGTGAGTTCAAGGCTTCCACCCTAATTAATTAACTCTCTCACGAATGGCAGACCTCAGGACTTGGGCTGGGCTCCGTGGCTTTCACACAGCAGGACTTACCCTCTGCCTTTCCATGCCTTTGGTCATCTGCCCTGTTCTCGTCTAAGAACATTCGGGACAGACCTCTGGTCCTGGCTTTGTGAGTATGTCAGAGCCGGGCAGTCTTCTGCTTCTTGACCGTCCAGCAGGGCGGGAGATTTCTCTGCATGATGTCTGCCCTGGCACCCTGTTACTACCTGGGAATTTGTTAGAAATGTACATTCCCGGGCCCCACCCATTTCTCAGGAATCAGAAACTCTCGGGGGTGGGGGGGAGGCATCATTTTGTGTAACACTTTCGCTCTCCAGGGCTTCCAGTGTGGGAACGTACAAGGAAGGCCTTACTTATGCCAGTGGTCCTTCGATCCAACACAGGGTCATCTAGGAACCTGTTGTAAGACCCAGGAGTCGGGACCTGCAGATTCATACGGACATTCAAGTTCAAGGAGTTCAAGGAGCTGTGTTCCAGTCAAGAGGCACCCTACAAAATCACTCGGGCCATGTGTGGCTTCCCTGGATGATGGAGATAGGACTCATAGGAAGACAAAGGATGGAACCAGGTTAGAGTAGACAAATTCCATTGTGGGGTTGAGTTCTGGGGAGCCAGGGAGGTCACCTGGCATAGGTAGAAATGATCCCAGAATGCTTGGGGCAGCTGGACAGGTCAGGCCACAGGCCTGGAAAAGCTGAGGTTCTGGATTGAGGTTCCTGCTAGAGTACAGAGCAGTGCAGACCTATCTCCCTCCAAAGGCAGGAGACACCGTGTGTGTGTGTGTGTGTGTGTGTGTGTGTGTGTGTGTGTGTGTGCACTGCAGATAAAGGCAGCACCTGGCAGTTCTCTAGAACACAGTTGGGGACAGACGGGGATAGATTGCCATATTTATTTAAGTTCCTTTTAAAAACCTCTGTGGCGTGTTCATGTTTGGGCGCCTGCGGAGGCTGGAGGTCTCGGTTTCGCTCTTCAGGAGCCATCCACTTTGAGTATTTTTGTGACGGGTTCTCTCACCGGCCTGCTTCTCCACGAGTAGGCTAGACTGGCCGGCCAGCAAGCGCTCCCCCCCCCAGCACTGGGGGGAACACCATCAAGCCTGGCTCTCTCATGTGGGTTCTGGGCACCGAATAGTCATCGAATGTTTGTGCAGCAAGCACTGAGCTGTCTCCCCAGCACTAGCTGCTTGGTATGTAAGAATTCTTTTTGCAGAACTTTCAGGGGTCAGAGTTGGTGAAAGGCAGGGCAGCCAGGTAGTGACCCCGGTCGCTTGCTCTGGCCTGGTCTTACGCCCAAGGTAGTAGGGTGACAGTGGTTGTGAGAACTTCCGTTAAGGACTGGTTCCGAGACACATCTTCAGGTCAGTTGTGCTGTTAAGAGTTTGTGTTGTTTTTAGTTTTGGGAACGATGCTGTCTCAAGGTCTTATCTATCATTTCCCATGCAAAATCAACCTTTTGATTACTCTTGATTACAGGAGACGGCATCAGCATCCTCTACGAGGAAGCGTGTGCTCTGTCCAAGGGGACAAGTGCACCGGTGTGCCGAGACCTGTTCTGGTCAAAGCTGCTTCCTGCCCTGCTGACCCATCTAGCAGCACTGAAACTTGCCCACCAGCCGTTCCCACCCCCCGCCTTGTGTGTACTCCTTCCTGACTCAGGAAGAGGCCCCCAGTCCTTGTCTCCAGGCTTCTCCCTGAGCTTGCTCCTGTGGCCTGTGAAGGTCGGGACTGCCTGAGGGATTCCCCCCAGCAGGGTTGGGCGATCCCCACACAGGCCTGCAGGTGGCGCCACACTTGTGGGAGGGAACCGCGTGGTTTCCACGCCTTTCTTTACACATGACAGCTGCTCAGGAGAGTTTCTACCAGGTGAGCGATCTCACATGGCCGCACTGGTGCCTTCCCTTACAGTGGACAGCTGTGAAATGCAAGCGTGGCCTTTTGGGCCAAAAGGCTGAACCTGAAATTGCAGAACCTGAGCTACGGGCATTTAAAAATGGGCACTTTGGAGCTTAAGTTTCATTTTAATCAAGAAAAATCTATTTCCAAGATGTGTGTCCTAACTTAATCCCAGCATTTAGGAGGCGGAGGCAAGTGGAGCTCTGTGAGTTCGAGACCAGTCTGTTGGACACAGTGAGTTCCAGGACAGCTAGGAATATGTAGATATCCTGGGCCAGAGAACATGTAGTCTAAGCCAGGCATGGGAGTTCCCCTTACTAAACCCAACACTTGGGAGACTGGGGTAGGATGACCGATGCCCGTTCAAGCCCAGTCTGGATTACCTGCTGAGTTCCGGACCAGTCTAGGCTGTTCAGTGAGAAAACTCAACATGATCTCAAAAAAAATCTATACTTTTAGGATTGAGGTATAGATCAGTATGTATGAGGCCCTGGGCTCAGTCACCACATCATGGTCCAAACAATGGGGAGGGAGAAGAGAGCACATGAATCTGAATTCAGAACAGAACCCTGCCCCCTGGGACTGAAGCCGTGGCTCAGTGGTTAAGACTCCTGCCTGTTCTTGCGGAGGACCTGGGTTCGAGTCCCAGTAAGCCTTACAGTGGCTCACAAACTTTTGTTATCTTCAGCTCCAGGGTGTCTGGGCCCCTTTTGACTTCCGAGGGCAATGCGTGTGGTGCAGACATACATGTAGGCAAAAACACTGATTCACATTTAAAAAAAGAAAAAACCTTTTCTAGAGCATGAGCCCTATTCCCCGACAGCCCCTTCCATCCCTCCCCCAACAAGGAGTGCCTTTGTGGCTCAGCAGGGCTAAGTAGATACTTATGAAAAGGCACTGGAAATAAACTAGTCAGTGACCAACGAAGGCCCACCAGGGACAGGTATGTGAAATTAGCCACTATCTGGCTTAGATGAGCCCCACGCCACCCTGGCAGCAAACTCAGGGCCAGGAGCACTGACAGACAGAAACCTCCCAGGGGTGTTCATCACAGCTCCTATTTAATGTCGGTCAGATAGCAAACATTATAAACTCTTTATATGACAAAACAGGTACATGCGAAGTTACAAATATAGAAAACGTGAAGTACATGCAGATCTCAACGACCAGCTCGGGGTCCACTTTGGGTTCATACGTGGAACTTAGTGCATGTTGAAAGCCTGAGGGTCACACAGTAAGCATTTAGTACCAGAAGGAATGGCCAGTGCACCACACACTCGAGAGGCGACAAAAAGAGGGTGTCCACTTGAAGTCATACTTCCTATGTTCTACACCGCTCACCCCAGTGCAGGCGGACGCTACTGCTGAGTCTGTACGTCTGCTCAGGGAAATATGAAACGATTTAAGGACAAAGTTTGTCTTACTTAATGCTAACAGATTTTCTTCCCCACTTTGGAATGGAGCCTATTTCTCTCATCTGCAACCTAAGAGCACTTTTAGATTGTCTCTTTGTTGTTGGGTTCAAATACAAGTACAGAAAATAAGGGCATGACCTAATTCTAGCTTTTGACAATTATGAGACGGAAATGAAGAGATTAAAAGAAATTAGTGTCTTGCCTTTGCACCCTAACCATCTCTCCCTTCACAGGAGTGCTGCCTCTCCTCGGAGTCAAAAATCTCCTCGCTCGATCTAAGGGAGGTTAGGAATCATTCTCGTTCCTAGAAGATGAACAAAGGCTTGCTTTCGGTGTCAGTAGGGTAACTTGATTTTCCCCCGTTGCTTTAATAGGTTATAGTTTATGCTAGGAAACAAAGAATGCCACACACGGGTATTCTAAATATCCCAAGCGGGAGGCTGCTTCCCAGGGCACCATGCCCAAACAGTGGCTTCTCTGGTCGTAGAACCCTTCACCTGTGCTGTGACTGTGTACTCTGGGCAGAAGTCTCGGGTCATACCAGTATTTACTCACTAGACCAAAGCAAAGGCCTGACTAGCTAGCGGTTATCTGCTGTTATATTCTTACTGGCCCGGTGTTAGCACTGGCCCGTGATGGACTCAGGCAAAGGGAACTGGAGCGAATAGCATCTGGTCTACTGTACATTTCCCCGGGCCCATCAGCGCCAAGGGTATTAGCCTATGGGGGACAAAGAGAAGAATGAGACACCACCTCAAGTAAAAGAGCTGCGGGTGGAGAACCCCTCCCCCAGCCTAGACCACAAGAACTGGAAGGTACGAGCAGGAGGGCCTCCCTCATCCCACTATCAGGAAGAGGAGGAAGGAGATGAGGAGGATCACGGGAGGGGAGGAGAAAAGCACTGCGCTGGACCGCCTTCCGTTGTAATAGGCCTGGGACTCCTTCTGGTACTGGGTGACGCACATCTGCTCCACCACGCGCTCCATCATCTTCACGTCTGTCTCGGTGAAGTTCTCGCCCTTGGTGGTGGTGGTGACCGTGTGCTGCTTGATGGTGATGTTCACACAATCGTGCACGAAGTTGTTCTGGTTGCTGTACTGGTCCACCGGCCTGTAGTACACTTGGTTCGGGTAGCGGTACATGTTTTCACGGTAGTAGCGGTCCTCCCAGTCGTTGCCAAAGTGGATCATGGGTCTGCTCATGGCGCTCCCCAACATGTAGCCGCCAAGGCCCCCCACCACGGCCCCAGCCGCAGCGGCACCTGCCACGTGCTTCATGTTGGTTTTTGGCTTGCTGGGCTTGTTCCACTGACTGTGGGTGCCCCCTCCTTGACCCCAGCCACCGCCATGAGGCTGACCCCAGCCACCGCCATGAGGCTGTCCCCAGCCCCCACCATGAGGCTGCCCCCAGCCCCCGCCATGGGGCTGCCCCCAGCCCCCACCCTGAGGAGGGTAGCGGTTGCCTCCAGGGCTTCCCTGCCCAGGGTACCGGCTCCCGCCAGTGTTCCACCCTCCAGGCTTTGGCCGCTTCTTGCAGAGGCCCACATCAGTCCACATGGTCACAAAGAGGGCCAGCAGCCAGTAGCCAAGGTTCGCCATGACAGCTGATCTGCAAAATGAAGAACAAGGCCTCAGTGTCCAGCACTCAGAATGAAGCTACTTGACATTTGCAGAACTAATATGTAATAGGTATGACGTCAATCCCCCTGGGGCTTTTCCTTGAAAGCATTTAGGAGAAAAGTAACTGTAAGTCAAGAAAATACACAACTCGTTCCCTTCCTCGTAGGACAAATCTGACAAACGTCTCGCTCTGTTTCCTGGAAACAAGAATCAACCCGGTTGTAGACTGCATCTGGTCTTGGGGGGAGATGGCTGCACAGTGGTTATGCCCCAGCTTTGAGTTTCGTTACATCCATGGAACCTGGAAGCAGGCTCGACCTTGTGGGGAGCCGGGCAGCTGTACTTGGAAGGCTGCTGTCATGGACCCGAGGTCCTGGGGGTCGTGAGCCTCTACACTGAGGAGAACCTTCATCCACATATGTAGACCTCGGTCCCCAGAATTAAAAAAGCCATGTGCAGGGGCAGCGGTGTGGATCTGAGTACACCGGTCCCGAGTAATGTTACAGCACCTGGGGCTGGGTCAGGGTCCAGTCTGGAGGACTCCTGAGCGGCTGCAGTGGGGGCAAAGACTTGAAGCTAGCTGACTCAGCTTTCCTCAGCAGCCCTGGAAGCAAGGAATACACCCCTCTGGAAGCCAGGTGCGGAGTGTGGGGCCTGAGGCAGCAATTGTCTGTGACCCCAGCACCTGTGAGGTAGAGGCTGAAACAGGAACACAGTGAGGGCTAGACAAGTCTGGGCTTTACAGCTCATGCCTCTAAATCCAAACCAAACCAAGAGTCTCTCATCTGTTGCCATTTTCGCTGGGCTAGGGCAGCGCCTGGCACAGAGAGCAGGACAGCAGACAGCTGTGGAGCGAAGGGATTGATTAACGTCCCCTGAGCGCATTAACGCCAAGAATCTCCTCGAAGGAACTCTCAACCCAAGTTTATTGGAGACAGGAACCACCTAGGATTTGGCAGGCTCACTTGAGAATTCCTCACTCTCTCCACAGACCAGAGCGACAGCCCGGGGCTGAGATCCACCCAGCTGTGGTCACAAGGTGCAAAGTGCCTTCACACTTGTGTAAGTCTGAGCTCAGTATTAATGCCTTTTTTTTTTTTTTTTTGAGATAGGGTTTACTCTGAAGCCTGGGTTTGCCTTGAACTCATGGCAACCCTCCTGCCTCAGCCTCTTCAGTACTCTGATCACAGAGACATACCATTACAACTGGTTTTTTAGTGTTAACATTTACTTTTAGTTAATTAGTATTAACAGTGTTAATATTTGAGTAGTTTGCTTTCTTTTGACTTTCGGTAAGGAAGGGGTGACACAGTTTAAGGAACAATAAACACACCAAATAGCCTGGATTGCAAAGTAAGGCCCTCCATGCAATGACACAATCTTCTTTCAGATTACCGATCTCACTGGCTGTGGGTGCCGAGACGACACCCAAGAGCAGAGCAGTCACTGTATTGCCACATCCTAGGTCAAGCCACACGCCCTGAAACGACACTGAGCCATAAACCTAAGAGGCCACACACAGTCACACGCTGGGGAGTCCTGCTTCCAGAACTGACATTCTTTTTCACACTGAAAAATTAGAAAATTACTTTTCAAATAAATTCTATGACGTATATGAGAGAAAGTAGTACGGAAACGCACTAACATTCTGTTCATGTTCCTAGCAGAATTATTGAAATGGGAAGTGCTGTCGGAAGTAAATCAAAATTCATTTAGAAAATACAAGCCAGAAGAAAAGGTGGGGATCAGGCCAGCTGGCGTTCTGGAAGTTTCTTCTCCTGAGGGTCAGAGGGAAAAACACGCTCCCACACCTCCAGCCCCGAGCCTTTCAGTCCTGCTCCCTGGTGGATCCCATTTCCCCAGGGCTCAGGTCCTGGCCTCCATGCTGGACTCTAACTCAGGACTCTCCCCTCATTTTAGGTTTCCGTCTTCCTGGACTTGGCAGTAAGCCCATATAATGGCAGAACGTGGCAGGCTGAGGCAGGAGGATTGAAAGTTCAGTCTAAGGATTGGGGAAGGAGCTCAGTGGATAGAGCATTGCTTAGCTTGTGTGAGGCCCTGGGCTCAACTCCCAGAACCCCAGTCAGCCATCATCACTCACTCACTCACTCTATCTCTTAAGTCTATAGCGTGTTTATGTAAACCACTTTTCCATTCATGCTACTGAGCCAAAGCTAGCCATAACTTCTTGAATTTTCTCTTTGTCACAGCACACATGAAACTCTATTAGCAAATCTTTCAGTTCTATCTTTACAATTAACTTACAATTAATCTATTCCCCCCCCCCTTTTTTTTTGGTTTTTCAAGACATGGTTTTCTCAGTGTAATAGCCCTGGCTATTAGACTAGTCTGGCCTTGAACTCATAGAGATCTGCCTGCCTTTGCCTCCTGAGTGCTGGGATTAAAGGCGTGCGCCATCATGCCTGATTTTACAGTGAATCTTAAGCCCTTCGGCTTTTCACAGTTTTCAGCACACTATCTTGGCTGATGCCCCCATTACTGGTTTTCTGAATCTTTCCACGGTTGTCTGTCTTCCTTTCTGACCCTGCCCCAGCAACTAACTTGTGTTTTCCTTTTAATATGTGGTCACACTGTACCGCTTCCCCAAGAAACATTCTTCCATATTAAAATACAGAGGTTAAAATACAAGGTCCTGGCCACACTGGCTGGATTTCACAGGACACGGCTTCACTACCTCCTTTCCCCACCCTGCTTAAACCTGTTAGAAACAAAGAATACGGCCAGCATTGCACAAAGAAACATGAACAAAGTGGAAGCAGCCCGGCAAGGCAATTTCTTTTTTGGGGGGAGGGGTGAAGGGGGAAGGCACAGCAGAACTGAAACAGCAATAGCAAGCAAATGGCAGCCAGAAGTTCATTTACTTTTTAATTCTAATGCTGGTGGCAATTGCGTCTTTTCCTCATCAGCTGGGGTCCTACCTCACAGTCTTTCCAGACGGGCTAGTTTTACAAGAATCAGCACATGGTGAAGGAGAGGGAGAGAGGGTTGGCTGCCAGAGGCCATCAGGTCCTGGAAATGCGCGGTTTGTAGGGAGTTGGGGCTTTGTGGGGGAGATTAAAAGATCTGGAAAAAAGTTTTTCAGGGTGGGTGACTGATGGAATCTTGGCTCACTACCTTTGATAGAAAAGAAACATTCCTCATAAGCCCACAAGTGAGTCCCCTCTCTGGGCCTTTGCACTTGCTCCTTCCTTGGTCTAGGCAGCTCCTTCCCAGATACCCATGTGGCTCCCAGATGTCCGGAGAGGGCTACACCACACAGTACAGCACCCCTTTTCCTATCTTCTTTCCCTGCTCCATTTCTTTCCAGAGCAAGTAATTTGCTTGACATACAAGTTATTTTCCATTTTCTCCACTAGGTGGCAGGTTCCTCAGGCGGGCAGAGTCTTGGGTCTGTTTATGGCAATGTCCCCAGAAACAGGGCTTGATTAATAAACACTTATAGTAAGTGTGGAAGGGATGACACAAACATCTTTACTGAAACAGAACTAACCAGCAACCAGGAATAAGTATTTTTCAATGGACACTGAAGGAGAACTGTGTTTAAAAGTTTACAAAACACTCTTTCCTACAATGGCCAGCTAGCAGTTGTACTGGATTAAGCACTTATTTTATATGCCAGCTGCTGTGGTAGGCTCAGGCTATCTGAAATAGACAGGGTGGGAGGCAGAGAAGGCTGCTGGGAATCACGCTGAGCTGGGCTTTGCATATGCTTTTACAAGGCTGTATGGCTCTCACTGGCATTTGCCTGACATGCCCTAGTGTCCATCTATTGCAGTGTGAAGAAAAAAAAAAAGTTACAGTTCCATGACCTGCAGAGACACATGAGTGGGAAATGACACAGGGATAAGGACACAGAGGAGAGGAACTGAGGTACATGAAGTATGTGAGAAAGGAGAAGGTGATGGGAGCAGACAGCAGTTAAGAGTCGCGCTGAGGTGCGGTGAGAGGGACTCTGGCAGGTCTGAGGACACCCGAGCCTGGAGCTGTACAGTGGAAAGGTAGGCAGGGCTCAGGTAACAGGGCTGTGCATGCAAGGCAAGCAGACCACTGGGACACATTACACCCGCCATTCTTGGTCTAACATTATCATATCCCGCTTAGCCTCAAGACCACCTTGTTTTAAAAAGAAAGCAAAGAGCGGTGCCATTGCTACCTACCCCTCCCATGTGGATCCTGGTTCTGTGGTGGCCCAATGGTTAGGCCTGGGCAGGGTCTGACTTGGGTCTGAAGGCATCATGAGCCACTGAGGAGGAGTTTGGGTCCTTTTTCAGAAGGAACATTTGCGAAGCAGGGACTTTGTGTACATGAATGCAACCTAGGCTTGCATGTGTGTGCAGAGCAGACAGCCTAGGTCTTGGGCTGCTGCAGTGAGGAAGCTGAGATGGAAGCAGAGCCATGTGATTCAGTGGGCAGCTCTGGGGGAACACAGTGTCTGATACAAATGGCAAGAGACTGAAAGTATCTGGAACCACAGCTTCTGGACTAGGCAGTGACACAGACAGAACATGGAAAGTGCATCCAATCTGGAGGGAGGTGGGTAAGGGGTTGGTTTTGGCTACAACTGTTGTCAAGCAACATGTGGGTGCAAAGCTCCCAGCGTCTGGGGATAAGGAACAACCAGCCACTGGAGAGGTCAGCCTGGGAGCTGTCCCCAACCATACTGCAGGAGCCATGGCTGTCGGCACTGAAACTGATGCTGGATAGTTACAAAATACATCAAGACAGGATCATTTCAAAATGAGCTGAGGACAAGGAAAAAAGTATCATGAAATTCCTTGACAGAATCCTTTCTAAAGGGGGACCCAAACCATACAGAAGACTTAAGCAGGCTAGCTACTGAAATCAAAGCCTCATCCTACAGATAGCGCCGCCCGCGTGAGGAGCTCCTGGTCTGTGCATGAGGCTGGTGGCAGCACACCTGCCTAGGTTCCAGCCCTGGCTCCACAGAGGGTTGCTGGTTCATGAGGTTGCTGGGACGGAGATTAGATTTCTGAGTTTGTGGCTGTGTTGTGATGTCATCTAAGATATTTTAGTAAGTACTTAATGAAGGTCATTATCTATATTTTTCACTAAGAAGAACACTCCTAAAACAGTTAGCAATAGGAATTTCCTCAGCTTGATAAATCTTACAATAAAACCAGGAAACATAATGAATGATCTCTGAATGTATTCCTTTTAAGATCAGCAGACTGAAAAAACAAAACAAAACAAAACAAAACAAACCTTCCATTGTTCACAGGACTCAAGGTGCTGCCAATGCCATATGTTAAGATGAAGAAAGAGCAGGTGAAGGAATTACAAGGAAAGATTTGTCAAGCTGACATCATTTGCAATTACTAAGATCACAACAGAAAACACAAAGTAGGATAAAAAGTGTTGCTCATCTTTAGGTTCCAGCACTTGGGAGGCAGAGGCAGCCGGAACATTACATTGAAGCCTGTCTGGTCTACAAATCAAGTTCCAGGACAGCCAGAGCGGCACGGAGATACCGTCTCAGAAAGACAGTAAAACAAAATAAAACAAACAACAGTAGCGGAATTCAGAAGGCTGCAGGTCCAGGATGAGGACCTTACTTTTCTATTGCTCTGATAAAACACCAGGCAACTTAATAGAAGGAAGGGTTTACGTGGTGCTAACGCTTCCAGAAGGGTTGGGATCTACCACCGCCATGGGGATGGGGGCATGGCACGACAGCAGCAGCTGAGAGCTCACATCTTGATCCGCAAGTAGAAGGCAGAGAGCTAATCTGAAATGGCAGGGGTCTTCTGAAACCTCACAGCTACCCCACAGTGACACACCTCATCCACAAGGCCACGCCCCCTAATCCTTCCTAAATAGCCTCCAGCTGGGAACCAGAACACTCAAATGCCTAAGACTTATGGGGACAATTCATTCAAACCACCACAATGAGAATGCAGAAACCAACATCACTTCCACACCAGCCACAACTAACTAGAAAAAAAACAGATATTCACATGCAAGCAAGCTGTAAAAGATCTGGAAACGACAAAACCAAGTAAAAAGAGACTGTATATGGCAGAAATTCAAACCTTTCATTCCATCCAGGTTGATTTTTCTGAATAGCTTAATAAACTCACATGAAAAATGGCATATTTATTAGTCAAGCTTAAAGGAAGACTACAGGGAGAATGTACCACACCAGACTTAAATCATACCATAAAGCCATAAAATCCAGGAAGGACCAGCAGGATTAAGTTCTAATATGGAAACATGTATACATTTTGTGACAAGGACTTGATATGCCAGTGGGTACACAAACCAGTAAGGAAAAAAGCTCGATGCTTCTAGGAAACTGAAGAAAAAAAAATGGGTCCCTAACCCCATATGCAAAAATAGACAGACAAAACTGAGTTAGGCAGAGCATGCACCATTAGAGTCCAGCTCCCAGGGACTTAGAGAAGACTACCAAGTTTCAGGTCAGTCTGGGTGACATAGTGAGATGCATCTCTAAAATGCGAAACAGTAAGTAGGCTATCGAAATGAAAGTTTCCCAAAGTACAAAATGGTCAATTAATATATGAAAAAATGTTCAATATCACTGGCTGTCAGAAAAGTGAAAGTTAAAATTACACAGACATTCCATCCCAAGTCAGAATGTCTACCATTTAGAAAACAAATACGGGGCTGGAGAGATGGCTCAGAGGTTAAGGCACTGGCTGCTGTTCCAAAGGTCCAGAGTTCAATTCCCAGCAACCACATGGCTCACAACCATCTATGAGATCTGGTGCCCTCTTCTGGCCTACAGGCATTCATGCAGGCAGAATCCTGTATAAATAGTTAACAAACAAGTCTTTAGGGGAAGGAGGGGAAACCCTTGGGATGTAAAGTAAATTAAAAACAAGGAGGAGAAAAGGAAATCCTTATAGATTGCTGGTAGGCCTATAAATTAGACCTCACCATGGAAATTTATATAGGTTCTGTAGAAAACTAAAACTACACCTATCACGTGACCTAGCTATTCCGCTGTTAAGTATTTATCCAAAGGATTCCAAGTTAGTGTGTCAGGGACCCTTTCCACTAATACATAAATATACAAGGGACTTTAGAATGAATCCGTTCAACAAATCTTTACTGAATAACTAGAACATACGTATTAAAAAGCAGAGCTAGGTGTGGCAGCCTATGCCTATCATCTTAGTACAAGAAGACTTTTCACGAATGTGATGAAAACATCAAGCCATTTTTACACAGTTCTGAGAGTTTACAGACTTGTGATTTTCTAGGTAAAAACTATTAAAAAGATCATCAAAAGGCTTCAGGTGTGTGAGTATGGGGGGAGGGGATGGTGGTAAGTGAGCGCCCTAGAATGGCAGTCTTTGAAATCTGCCCCATCTAAAGACATAATGGGGTAAAAATTCCATCCACCATGACATTAAGAAACTCAAAACATCTAGGGTTCATCTTCAAAATACACAGTAGACTTACTGAGGAAAGTTACACAGTTTTGCTGAGATATTTAAAAAAAAGACTAGAAAAAGCAAGAGATATATATTAACCAGTATAGACACCAATATACAAAGAGACTGCGATTATATCCAAATAACCCAGAGTCAACTTTTATCCAAATTCGGAGGACTTTAAGAAACACTAACGTGACACTAACAGGGGTGCAGGGCATGGTGTCCCATGAATGAATCCCAGTGGTTGAAAGCAGAGGTAAGAGGACAGGGAGCTCGAGACCAGCCTTGGTTAGGTAATGAGTTGGAGGCCAGGCTGGGCTGAGACCCAGTCAGCCTTCCTTGCCTGCCTGCCTTAGAGGGACTGGCTTTAGTCACCAGTACAAAACAAAAACAAAAAAACCCACCACCAACCAATGAATCAAAACAAAAACTCCTAAAAACCGAAGAGCTGTTTATGTGAGAGGAGAATCCAGAGCTCACCAGGCTAGCTGACATGCAAATCTGCACAGGCAAAATGCTGTGCTCGCAAGAGCAACACGTACAGCTACAGAACCCAAGGGAGGGTGCAAAGGTCTATGAGTCACCTGTCATTCTATTATCGCTACCCACAGGCATCACGGGGCAGAGCTGCTGAGAACTTGTCCAAAGTTCTGAACCTAAGCTGCTGCCGCTGAGGTCCACACACACTGACCAGTCCCTGCCGTCCACTAAGGTGGTGCTTTGAGATGCGGAACACATACACCTTGAAGTTTAATCAGGTAAATTACGAAGCGGAGAGAATAATACACACACACAAATACACACAGACACAATATGCACACACTCACACCTTCTACCCCACCCCCATCCCTGGGGGTAAATTTCCTGTCTCTCTTGTGCTAAGAACAATTAATTCATTTCTCATTTGAGGTCACTGGCCCTTAAGGAACTGGATCGAGCTTGTAAGATGATGGGAAACATTTTAGGGCTTTAACTGGTATCTTAAGAAGACCCGTCTCTGGATTGAATAGGGTGATTGATCCCTAAGCTGACTGATCATCAGAACTACTTTAAGAACTTTTGAAAATCCACCAGAAATCCTTGTGGGACAGCCTGGAAATGTTTAATGATGGAACGGGAGAGGCTGGAAAAGCCTCCCACAGAGCCTGCTGCCTACCGCCTTCCCCCACCCCGCTGGGTGATCTGGAACCTAATGCTTTCTGCTTTCTGCTAAGAGGGTGCAGTTCCCTCTGGGCTGCTACTGCAGCGGCCATGAGCGGAGGGCTGCCTCACACATCGAGACAGACGTTCTCCAGGTCTCAGCGCTAACGCAGGCACCCTATCCACTGCGCGTCCCTTTACAGCGCCGCAGCCATCCCTGCGTTGGGTCCAGATGCACTTTTAAGTATTCAATGTGCAGGAACTCACAGACGCCTTGCAAGAAGAGAACAGGAAAGTTAAAACCATCATCCAGAAAAACCATCTGGGTGTGGTGGCTTGGCTCACAGCTCGGAACTGGAGTGCAAGGTCAAGTCCCAGGTCAGCCTGGGCACAGGAAAACAAAAGCAAAAGCAAGGCCAAAACTACCGAACCCACAAATTGCGAACATACAACAGAAAAACCCATATGAAAAGAAAGAAAAGAAAATTGTCACTCTACCTTTCTTATTTGGTTGAGATTTGGCATAGAAAAGTGTCTTATCAGTTCCCTAGTCCGGCACAGTCCTAGAGAAAGTGGTGGCCCTTGTCCCAGTGGAATTAAGCTGACTTTACAGGAGAACAGTAAGAGACGTAAGTCCCACATCACTGGGTGGCCTCTGGGGCACTCGTGGTGCTTAGACTCCTCTGGCCCTCATTTCCCCAGACAGTTGGTGATCTTCATGGCCTTCCCTCCCCCAAGACCACCATGATTCACAGGGTACTTACAATCTGCTTGGCTCTCCTAAACTGGACTGGTACCACTAGGAAGGCAGAATGCTTCAGCTCGGTTAAAATTGTTCAGTTGTGAAATATAATCAGGAGTCCTTCAAAACAACAACAAAAGCTGATAAATAAATCTTAAGAACTGAAACACAATCTAATCTTATATATAAATTGCCAAACCACTAATAAATAGTCAAATAAAAAGGGACATTGCTTGAAAACCGAAATAAGAGCACCTCAAATATATTCCAAAAAGCAAACACGGCATGGTCTACGTTAGTTTAGAAACCAAAAAACTATCCCCTGGTTCACTCCCCAGTATTCCAAGAAAAGAAGCCTGTGAACTGCTTTGTTTTCCTCAAACATGTTAGTGGAAACAATACATCCGACAAACATGAGGTTAAAATTGGACATATTTTCTGCTCTCCTGGGTTTTTCACACGTTTGGGAGAACTTAGCCTCCTACCCTGTACTCTTAGTTTTCCACAGAGATACATGGAATCCAAAATGAAGAGTGTTCACGAGCCCTAAGGTTCCTTTCATGAAACTGTCACAGTTTCCTAGCTGCTGCTGATTTTCAGTTGGTTCTAATTTTGGGGAATTGCTGGCCATATGGCTCCCACAGCCCTTTGTTCCATCCCAGGTAAATTTCTGGGTCACAGCTCACGGCTAATAATACCTCCCCAGACTGTTCTGCTGCTGGGCACAGTGCCTCATGCTTGTAACAGGCTTTCTGGGGAGTCGCAGGCAGGACTGCTACAAATTTGAGGCCCGCCTGGTACACACAGCAAATTCCAGGCCAGCCAGAGCTACATAGTTAAAGCCTGCTATGAACTCACAAACATGCAAACCACACAGTCCAAACTAACTAGTGAACCAAACAGAAAGCCCCTGCTGATTTACAGTACCCTCAGTTAAATGGGAATGGGAAACAGAACAACATACATTCAGCATCCAGTTTTACAGACTGTTAATCTTTGCAACGAATACCAGACACAGGTAGCACTTTCTGCTTTCTGAGAATGAATGAAAGGGGCTGGAGAGGTGGCTCAGCAGTTAAGAGCTCTGGTCATGCTTCCAGAGGACCTGGATTTGGTTCTAAGCTCCCACATGGCAGGGCTCAGAGAGCCATCCTTAACTCCAGTTCCAGGGCATCCGCCTGCCAGAGAAACACAGAACCAGGCACCTACATGCATACATATGTGGATACAAAACACTCACACACATGAAAGAAATACTTGTCTTTTTTAAAAAAAGGAAAGAACAAAAGGAACCTCAGGAAATGTCAAGTCATAAAGTTGGTTGTAAAGCAATGTTTCTGGCCCCTAAGTAGGGCCACCTGCCCCTAAATCTGAACATGGTGGTTTCAGGCAACCTCTGGGGTAGGGTTGTGGTTGCCATTGTTGTTGTTTATTTAGTAGACGTCAAAAAAACAATCAAGCTTGCTTTAGTTTGCATATTATTGAGAAAATGACTCATCATTTAGTCCCTGTTAAAAATAATATGGAATAAAACACAATCACCCCTGATCTTTCTATTTCCTTCTCTCTTTGAAGCTCTTGGGTGTGTGTGTAGGTAAAGAAGCCCCTTTTCTTTATGGAACAGTTAATTTTTCAAGGGGTCTGGCATTTTAATGCAAAATTTTGATTCCTGTTTGTAATTAGATTTGCACAAGTCTTTAAATCTCATTCTTCCAGGAGTTTCTCTTAAGAAAATGGGGAATTCAGCACATGGGCAACTGTTATTAAACCACGATATTCAAAGTACAAGAAAAATAAGACAGCTACGAAAACGCCAAGGCAGGGCAGAGAAATCGCGTGGCGTTGGGTGTGAAACCGGGGGGATAGGACTGCGACGCTGAAGACTGAGGAAATCGTGGTGCAATCACGGGTAAAATTATGCTCGCGGTAGCTATTACAAAGAGAACAGCAAAGGTCAGCCCAAAGATGCCACCCTCCCCCACGCCCTCCCAGCGATGCTGAGCCTCCATCCCTCCAGGAGACCCGCAGCAGCGGGTGCCGGGGCACCTCCCCGCCCGGCTGTGCCCCAACCCCGCGGCCTGGCGCCGGGAAGGCCGCGGGCTCGCCGGGGCCTGGCTTCAGCAGCTAGCTTACCTGCCACCGCCGCGACGCTCCGACTCGGTCAGCTGCTCCTACACCGCGGGGGAGCGGGGCGGGGCCGGGAGCGGGGCCGGGAGCAGGGCGGGGCCGGAGGGGGCGGGGTCAGCGTGCTAGCCAATGGCCGCGCCGCGGCTCCCGCGGGGCCTGAGTCACTGGCTTAAATGCTTGTATCTGTTTAAACCGCCCCCGGGTGTCACCACTCCCTGACGAAGCTCATAGACTATAAAAATCATCTTTAATGGAAGACTGGTCCAGATCCCAGTGCTTCCGTTACATAATGGGGAAGATGATGCTTAACGGAGCGAGAAGCTATCCCTGGAAGTTTGCTAGCAAAGAGGAAGGTTTTCGAGCTCACTATTTAGGCGTTTTCCCATCAACTATAAAAATTAGCGGCCTAGAAAATACATTGGCCATTGCCTGTTGGTTTATTCTCTGGTGTTTTCCTTCCTTCTTTCCTTCCTTCCTTCCTTCCTTCCTTCCTTCCTTCCTTCCTTCCTTCCTTCCTTCCTTTGTTCGTTCCTTCCTCTTTTCTTTTCTCTCCTTCCCCTTCGTCTCTGGAGACAGTTTTTGTAGCCCAGGTTGGCTTGGACTACCCACTAAGTAGTTTAAGCTGACCTCAAACTCAGAGCAACGCTCCTGCCCCAGCCTCCTGAGTGTAGGATTATAGACAAGCATCACAATACCAGCTCATCTGTTCACTTTCTACTTTTATTTTGTCCAAAGAAATATGCACTACATTTAGCAGCTCCCATTGAACACGGCCTGAAGCAGCTTAAGGGCAACAGCTTTCTCCTTCAAGATGCCTGCTGAGTTGGGCAGGTGAAAGCCTGTAATAGGTTCTCATGCACACGCACACACAGCCCTATACACACATAACACAAGCTGCTGCCAATACTGTGACAGAAGGGGCCGTAAAGCGCAGGGGAAAATGTAACATCCTGCCCGCTTGATGAGGGTGAGACGATGAAGACCGTGGACAAACACAAGACTGGATTTGGATTATTACTGGGATCTAGGATGGCATGGTGCTGAGGGAGTCTAGGAACAGGATCATGGAGATTATAAAGTAGTCATGTGTCTCCCTCCTCCACCCCACCCCCCAGTGCTGTGTGTGGGTATGTGTGTGTGCGTGAATGTAGGTAGGCTCTTGATGGCTGTTCTGGAAGAGGAAATGAGAGGGTTGGTAAACACAGCCTTTGCATGAGATGATTCAATTACAGTGAATCTAGATTTCAGCCAGTTAGAATGAGCAGTGCTGCTAGCTGCTTGACATTTAGTCTGTGTTCTTAATGAACACACTGACGGTCTTTCAGAGCCTTGCCTTCTCGCCTCGGAGGTTACTCACTGTGAAGAGGCCGGCTCTCCTGTTCTGGGTCAGGGTGAACACATCTTTGAGTTTCTCAGAGACCCTCCACTTGCTGTCAAGAGGCCAGGAGGAGGAGTAGTGGGTGGCTGGATTAGGTTAAGTAAGGGTCCAGCTCCCCTCACCCCCACCCCCTTGGAGGGGCTCTGAAAGACTTTGTTAGAAAACATCAAAACTCAGCTTTTTTTCTCAAATGAATGCAGTATCTGCTGGCTGACTGCTCTCTACCCAGCAGGAAGTGGCTTGGGCTTTTTGGATGGGGCAGGGATTAGACATGAAAAGGGACTGGCTGTTCCGAAGCCCTAGCTGGTTATTTTGGCCATGCAGAGCTGGGCATGGTGGTGTCAGCTTGTTAATCTAGCATTTGGAAAGTCAGCGCTGGGAGGAACGACAAAATTTTCAGTCAGCATGTGGCTGGTGAATCTATGGCTGACAGGTGTGTCTCTCTGCTATTTGGTGGCTGTTCTGAGTGCCAGTGCAGCGCAGGGAGTGGGGGCGGGGTTTGCTGTTGATGTGAGTGATAGAATGAAAACGTGAACATCAAAATGTTGGGGGTATTGCCCAGGCTAATTTACAGCAGTGGTTTAATCTTCTTTCATTAAATAAGAAGATGAGACGAGCTAGGCTTTGACAAATGTGGTCAGCTGAGGCAATCACAGAACTTCCTCTGCAAACACCAGCTTCTTCCTGTTCATGGCTTTTGCTTCTGGTTTTTCTGCTAAGGAGAATCACCTGGAGACTGAAGAGCGAAGAGTGGGCACCTGGCAGAGAGACGCAGAGGCTCCGAGGCAGAAGTGTGGAACACACTCCAGGCCCCGGCCTGTTGGGGTAGGATCTTGGGGAAGGAACAGCTTGCCGGAAAGTGGACTGTCACACTTCTGGCTTAAACCCCATGTTTCATGAGTGCTGCTCTGTCTACTGCCAACAAGCTGGGCTGGGGTGGGGAGTGTATGTGAATTCTCTCTTTCCGGTGTGTGTGTGTGTGTGTGTGTCCATGCATGCACATGTGGAGGCCATAGGTTGACATTGGGATATGTTCCTTATTTTTTGAGACAGGGTTTCTCACTGAGCCTGAGCTCACCATTGCAGCAAGGCCCGCTGGCCAGTGAGCCTCCAGGAGGCACCTGTCTCTGCCCCTAGTGTCAGGCACAGGTCAAGATGCCTGGCTTCTATAGGAGTCTGGGGACCCAAACTCAGGTCTTGCTTTGCAGGGACTCTCAGAAGTCTCCTCAGCTCCAATTCTGATAGAAATTGCATTCTATCAAGTGGAATTCTGATAGAAAAATAGAGAAAGGAAATTTTGTTTCTGAGTAAGCTTCCACGAGAAATTATAGTTCCTCTTCCTTATCATACAGTCCCCCAATTGTCCCAATTCCGAGACTGTTTTCTCTCTCAATGACTGCGGTGGTTTGAATGAAAATGGCCCCCACAGGCTCATAGGAAGTGGCATTTTTAGGGGGGGTGGCCTTGTTGGAGGAAGTGTGTCACTGGGGGGTGCGTGGGGGTAGGCTTTGAGGTTTCAAATGCTCAAGCCAGGCCAAACGTCACCCTTAAACATTTTTCTTATTAAGAGTTGCCATGTTCATGGTGTCCCTTCATAGCAATAGAAATCCAAACTAAGACAATGTTCTTTTCCTGTGGAAACTGCATGTTAATTGCAGTCATTCTGGTGAACAGTGTGAAAAATTCCTGCTCTGTTTTTTTCTTTTCTTTTTCCTTCCTTCCTAGCCTTTTTATTTTTCTTTTTCTCCCCTCAGAGTCCTACTTGGTACTCCAGGTCCCAGACTAGCACAGGCCGGCTTTGAACTTGGACAGTCCTCCTGCCTCAGCCTCTGGAGAGCTGAGATAACAGGGGTCACCAGGCCTGGCCTCCTCCCCAAGAACAGTTAGAAATTAGGGAGGGAGGGGCTTTTTAGTACTGATGACTGCTAACATTACTGAGTCAAATACGAGTGAGGCCACCCTGGGAACAAGGGTGAGTAACTCCTTCTATGATGGTAGGAGTTGCGTGGACATTTGCTCCCGCTTACTCTCTAGCTCTGTAGTTCCAGAGATGGAATCTTGGGAGGCAAGGTTTCCACACCCCACTGCGCCCTCAGTTCTCTTCTTAGACTCCCGTGGGGGACACGCTCTCACCAAGTTGCTGAGGCAGTCCTGTGATCCTGAACGGCAGGGTCCACAGGCTGAGGCTCTGCCGGCAACCAGCTTCAACAGAATTCATAGAGAAAAAGTCCCGAATGGACATGTTTTCACAGTTGGCTAGGCGAGCTGAAGTAAGGTGGGGGAATCTACAGGGATGCCATGGGTCCTTGTCACGGTCTTAGCTTTAAAGTTCACAGAAGCTAGGTGACACACTCCTATAACACCCCCCCCCCTTCTGAAACTCTCCTCCATAATCCTAAGAAGACAGATTGTAATTTTATCTCCATCTAGAGTTTAAATTGTCATGGTGTGAAACTCTGCCCATAATGGTGCCACGTAGGAGATTAACCTTTAGCTCCTTTCCTACATAACTTTTTGCTTTCCTAGAGTTAATAGTTTAACAACATTTTGTATTAATTCACCAACAAATTCAGAATTCTCCTGCTGTAGCTCCCCAAGTGCTGGCATTTGAAACACTCGGCTCCACAGATGATCTTCTCTTAGTTGGTTTTTTGTTTGTTTGTTTGTTTAATATTTGTAGGTTTCTTTGGCCTGTGTCAGGCTTTAACTGGGTACTTCACTGACCCCTGCAGAGGTTCATGTTCCGTTCACCTGTTGGTGAGGCTGTGTTGGGAGGCCGTGGAGCCTCGGCAGGGGCAGCAGTACAAGTATGGGGCTCTGAGGCTCACACCTAGCCCTGACCCCCATTGTACTCCCTGTTTCTTTGTCTTGCCACTTTGTTGAGGAGTTCTACCGCCCACAGTGGTCACCACAAAGCCAGCCTTCTGTCGAAACATACAGAATAGATACAATCTTTTTGAAACGTTATTTAAACCCATTTAAAGGGTAAATAAATCTCAGTGCAGCTTTGCAACTTAGAAATATCTTCTCAAAAGAGCTGGGCGTGGTGGTGCACGCCTGTAATCTCAGCACTCAGGGGAGGCAGAGAAAGGCGGATCTCTGTGAGTTCAAGGCCAGCCTTGTCTACAAATTGAGTCAGGGACAGGCAAGGCTACACAGATTAAACTTGTCTTAAAACAACAAACAAACAAACAAAAAACCACACACACACACACACACACACAAAATATCTTTTCAACCTGAAAACTCTGGGTGTAGTAGTTCACACCTGTAATCCTGGCTGAGGCAGTAGGATTACCATGAGGCTGAGACCCACTCAGGTTTTACAGAAAATTCTTGTTCTGTCTGGGTTAGAGTAAGAAAACCCCAAACAACTTCAAACCAAACTAAAACACCTGGAAGTCGTCTCTGAAATATAAACCCCAGGGAGTGATGGCTCCTCGCCTCTGTGTCTGTGGGAGACAGGAACCTGGCTTTGATGGGCGCCGCTCTCTAGGTAGCAGGATGACCTCCTGTCATGAGCCTAAGTGAAGCTTGTCTTCGTTTTGGATAAAGCTAATGAGGAAGTACGTGACAGCTTCATTTGCCAGATAAATGTAGTTTAAACATGTGACAAATGGTGCTGTCAGGTAAAGACTAATTATTAAAACCATGTGCGCCGTCCATATTTACTGGATTATGTAAAGGAC